CTACTTTTCAAATCATGTAGGTATAGCAAGATTAAAAGACTATCTTTCCTGATAAATTTTTAATGAAGATTTAAATATATTTTATGCTTAAATTATTATAAAAAGTTATGTGTGATCTCTAACTTAAATATAACAAGTCATTTTTTTAACAAACACGAAATAATATTTTAAATAAAATGCTGATGAAATAGATGTATATTTTAATTTAGAAAAAGAATTAAAATATATTTAATCTTTCAATAAGTTGTATTAAATTATCTTATTTTATCCAAAAAATATATTTACTAAAATTTAGATAAAAATTATATAATTAAAATTTAGACTATAAAATTTAAATTATTTCTATTAACAACTAATTAAATTAATCAATTATAAAAAAATGCTTTTCGAAAGTCTGTTTTAAATAAGGTTTAATTGCTTCCTTTGTCCCCAGTTTGGTTGAATTGTGTCAATTCATCCTCATTTTTAACAAAAAGTCACTTGTCTCTACGTATGTCGGGAAGTACAATATCTCAGGTGCAGTTCTCATGTGTCCGTGGTGTAATCAAGGTGGTCAATTGAATCCAAACATAGAACAAAAAGTTGGTCGAAGTAGTCATGTTTCCTATATCGGTCTGTGTCTTCTCATCTTCAATATGCTCACTTCTCTGGAGCTATGAAAAGCCTTAAATTGGATAGGTAAAATGAATATCTGTACTTGAATTGTAAGAGAAAGGGAAGAGAGACGAACAGATATATAGGAGAATGCCTACGCTTGGACAGCAACAAAATGTTTTTATATGTTTGGGATTTCCAAGTGTACACTGCTTGGACTAACAGCCAAGCAGCCATGGACGACAATGAAACGGTTTACACTCACCCGTGTGAGGATACACTACATCTGAGAAACGTTGGTAACACAATGGAGGCAAGAAAATGAACTCATGTCGACAAGGCCCGGTTTGATACCCAAGAACAGAAAGGAGCCACCACTTCCACAACCTGCCCACAATGAAGCTGAGTGCAGCAGAAAAGAGAGTAATGTGAAAGAGACGCACGGAACAGAACGAGTAAGAACGCAGGAGAGGGGAGAGGTGCAGAATAAACGAACGAGAGGCGGACGGAAAAGCAATTTAAAACACTTGTAGGAAAAGGAACATGACCTAAAACCTATGAAACCATAAACTCTTAAGCCCTACTAACCAATGTAAATACAACATCGGATCAAGGATTAGTCGACGACACCACCGAGTATATGGTTCTGGGGACGTTTCAATATATTAATCATAATCTTCTAATAAATTAGATCTGATTGTTAGAGAGGGTAGCAGGCACAGCACGATCTGTGAACTTATCAGATCATCGTTACAAAGACCGAAGTGGTAAACGCAGAATGGCGAGGCTCAGGAGTATGCACCTAAATCGAGCGAAATACGGCGATCGAAGCGGTGGGAAGACCGGGCGGCGGTCGCAATGCCGGCCCGCTCACAGGCCAAAGCCGCTAGTGCCGAGCAGCCCTCCTAGGCGCCGAGCGGCCGGGGCACAGGCTAGGGAAAGCCGCCACAGACGCTCGCGCCCCGACTGCGGGCAGACGGCGCCCAGGGGAAGCACAAATACGGAGACTGAATAGGGGACGCCACCAACGACAAATATGAGCAAAACGTACGCACAGCCCTACGCGGGCCACCGGTGCAGCACACATACGCACGACGCTCCAGACACCGAACAGGGCCAGCAAACGCGGAGAGGGCGGGTGGGCTCAGGACAAGAGAACGACCAAGCGACACGAGAGACGGCTACGGAAAAAGCGACAGACAAAGAAAAAAGACGCAGGAACGAGCCCGCAGAGAGGGCCCCAAGGTACGGGCCACACATACTAGGCATACTGGTAGCCCGTTATTTTGTAACATTGAAAGATAAAAGGAGAATGAGGTTACAGCAGCAAACTGAAGCCGATATTATCAAGCTGGGGGAGGAGGATGGTTGAAAGACCAAGAATGGCGAAACAATATCAATATAAAAATATAAGAGGTGGATTATGATAATGGTGGACGTATAGAATAATTAAGCTATCTAGTTTTGTTTATAAAGTGGGGAGTGGCAAGGGTTAGTTCAAAGAGCAACAGGAAGAGAAAGCGATAGCCAAGTATCACTGTGACAGGCTAAGGTGGTATTAAAAGGATGGGCACAGGTCCTTGCGCGCGGTAAACATTAAAAAATTGTGAAGGTAAAAAGTTATTAGCCACAATTTTGGAACGCAATGGATTAGTCACTATATGAAATAAGAACAGAAATGATTAGTTTATTAAAAACTTTAAATTATAAGAGGGTCAATTTCTAACAGAGATAGAATTAAAAGTCATTTTTAAAACTACTTTTCGAGTAAAACTTATAAAAAAATAAATGTTAATTTCTTCGGGTGTATAGTATGATGATATATTAGATATGTACATATATATATATATATATATATATGTATGTATGTATGTATATAAATATATATGTATGTATGTATGTATATAAATATTTATATATGATAAAATATTGCATAGTGATAATCATGTGAAGATTAAGCAAGAATAATGGTTATTAAGTAAAGTTTTCTTCATATTATAAGCCTGTTCTGGTTTGGTTCTTCCAATGTCTGCTGGCCACCGCATGGGTGTTCTTACCTGAAACGACTCTGTCTCTTCTCTGTGTGGTTAGATTCACTGATTCTTGGTCGATGCAAATTTCAGGTTTTTTTTTTTTTTGTATTAAAAACCACAGCTTATCAACAGAATGTTTAGTGCAAGTGGGGTTTGTTTTTAATAAAATTTCCTTCTTGGATTGATATTAACACGCCTCTGTTCTAGCTATGAACTGGAAATGATTAGTACCTCTACACACGTGGTTTCATTAAATTTTGTCACCCGTTTCTTTTGGGGACTTGTGTATCTAAATTTTGCTGCGAAATGTGTCAGAATTTCCAATATTTTTCAGTTTTATTGGAGCAACTTGGTAGCTAGACCACACTCACAGCTTCAAATGAATGTGTCTTAGAGTTATCCACCTATGGTCTTTTTTTTCTCCTTCTGTTAACATTTAGTGGGGCTAGTGGGAGAAATCTTCTGGGACCGATTGCTTGTTACAGTATGTTAATTTTGTTCTGTTTTCGATGAGATGTGAAATTGAACTTAACCTGAATGAATGACTAGATAGTGTTTTTTACTCTCATCATTGGATTTCTATGATTTTGGAGAATGTTCAGTTTAGAATCTTGTAATTATAAATGGTTGTTTAGCACATGACTTGCTGATAGAAGGCTGGTTCTTCTTTCCTTAGAGATATAGAGATGGTGAAAAAAGGAAACATTGTGCAGTACAGGGAGAGGTTGGACAAGAGTCTTGCCTTACCTGATCTGACAGATGAACGGATACTCAAAACCCTTGTCAAAAGTCAACTCCAACGTTCTTCTTCAAAAGTGGAAATTGAAGGTAATAATAGCATTCCCTAGTTCGCTTTGAAGTATGTTGCCGAAAAGGTACTAGCTGACAGATGTTATTATTTTAGCTAGTTATGTTTTATCTTCTTTTATTTGTTTATTCATTTGGTTTCTGCAGGATGTAATGAGAAATTAGTAGAAACCAAAACCAAGGAGATATATGACTTTCTTAGCATGTTGAGAAGTGCTTCTGGAGACAATAGTGCAGGATCTAGCACATCACGCTCTGATTGGAAAGTAAGCTATCGATGTCATGTTTTCTTCACCTTTCAATTGCTTATTTAAATCATCCCCGGTTGATTTATATCTTGAACCTTTGTTTCTTGTTGACATGACAGAGGCTCAACTTTTTCTTTGTACTCTGGTTTGAAATTTTACTTCCATAATTTATGTTGACATTTGATATAAACTTTTATTACATGAAATTTAAGGTGAAATGCTATACCTATATTTTAGTTATTTTTACTGATTGGTGACTTCTTTTCATAGAAATCAGGAATTTACATTGTCTGATCAACTTGTTGCTTTTAAACAGTTAAAACAGGATACTGAAGATTTTCGAGTTATGTATCGCGAAGGACCAGAGGGAACTCCCTTTCATACATTGCTAGTTGAAGGCTATGTGGATGGGCCTCTAGATCTCTGTGAGTCATGCAACGATGAGCCTAAATTTTTAGCATAATAATCCTTTTAATTAGTTTAACAAGGGTCATGCTATGATCTTAACATGAGAAATTTAACCTTTGTTACATTAACAGCTTTGTGCCTTTCATGGGAGTCCTTCCTCTACAAGAAATGGTGAAAATCATATTGCAATACGTGCCTTTGCATCCATTATTTTTTTATAGCATAGAAGTTATTTGATTCTGTGTTGGGGTATATACCCTTTTCACAATTTCAATTTTTCCAGGTGGCCTCAGTTTACTATTCCTAGTTTCAAAGTTCTAGTATCTGAACGTTTGCAGAGGGTCCAGATTGGAGAACACATTTCACTTGTTAGGTTTGTCTTGGCTCCATCAATTTAGTAAATTTACATTGTAGTGTGTGTCACTGACCATGCTACATAAAAACTTTGATTTTTGAATGCTTATAATGCTGCTGATTGTGGAAGAAAGGATGAAGGTTCCATGGCCCCTATCTACAAGGGAAGCTATAGTGCATTATTATCTTTTTGAGTACTTTCAAGATGACTTAGTAGTTGTTCTTTTGAATACGGTACTCCCCTGGCCCTTCTTTCTTTTTCTCTACAAAGTTAGTTCTAAGTCAGATCATCCAAGCTTCGAGAAATGAATGTTTAATTTCTTTTCAGGTCTCTGAGTCTACGAGCATTGACAATTTCAACATGGATGCAATTCCTGAGGCCAAGGATGTTGTAAGAATTGATTTGTTGGGAGGCTATGCTATGCAAAAGGTGACATCAG